GGATCCCCTTATCCTACTCCTGCCTGAATGTCAGTTCCCAACAGTTGAGTTTTGGATTTAGAACTGAACCAATCAACATCACATCCTCACACATGTAGTGTGATTGGGATCTCTCATCCTACCCCTGCATGGATGTTGGTTCCTGGCAGTTGAGTTTTGGATTTAAAGGTAAATCAATCACCATATATTTTATCATACATGTAGTATGATTGGGATCCTTCATTCTATCCCTGTCTGGAAATCAGTTCCTGGCAGTTGAGTTTTGGATTTAGAGCTGAACCAATCAATGTCTTGTCCTCACACATGTAGTGTGCCAGTGTCAAGACATTTCACCCCATTCGATTGAGATCCCTCATCCTACTCCCACATAGATGTCAGTTCCCAGCAGTTTAGTTTCGATTTAGAACTGAACCAATCAACACAAGTCATCATACATGTTCAGGGTATCCCTGCTCACTTATTCAATTTGTCTCATGCTTTTTCCTGTGTTCTGGGTCACGATGGGTGCACTTGGTCATTGCTACTTTTCCTTCTCTTGCTTTCCCCTCGATGTCTTTATGCTGAGGATGGTACTGCACTTGGGGTGGTTCTGGTATGTTTGATTTCATTCTGATCACATGTGCCCTGTTCACCAATTGGTGATGATAATTCTCACTCCGGTTGGCTGAACTTGAGGTGAAAATAGTGTGATTCTCTTTCCTACCCCCACTTTGATGTCGGTTCCCAGCAGTTGAGTTTTGGATTGAAGTTGACTTACAGAAAGTATGATCCTCACCCTTCCCCTGCATCGATGTCAGTTCCGAACGGTAGAGTTTTGGATGCAGTTGACTTGCCATGCATGGTTCATCCCGCCATAGCCACTCTACACCTTGGGGCACATTCCTTCTTTAACCCACAATGTGATGTGCTCCTCATTTTTGTCTGACCGACTCAATTTCACCTTTTTCATGTCTGGGTGAAGAGTATACCAGGTATAGAAGTGGTGCAGTCTCCACTATCATCATCTTCTTTGAGGGTCCCCTCTTGGGGGCTGTCCTTCAGATGCTTTTGGAGGATGCTTCTCTTTTTTTTTTTTTCTACCGGTACCTCTACTTATTCATTGTGGAATTCTTGCTGTGTATGTGAGCAGAAGTAAGGTACCCTGTCGGAAGTTATAATTTTCCTACACTGAAAATATTTTTCTAATAGGTACTTACTTTCACTCACATTTCCCACCCTTCCTTCCCCACTATCTACTGGTGCATTGTTTTCTGCCTAAACTCAAAGTGATAGATAGAATAGCATAAATGGAGTGATGTGTGTGTGAGAGGCATGTCTATTCAAGGGTAGATACAGACCCAGTGCACTGGGTGCATGCCCCCCATTTTAAAAAAAAAATCAAAATAATTACAGAAATTGAATCTTTGAGGAGGGAAGAATGTAGTGAATTTTCATATTACATTTAAAAAAATAAATAAAAACAACATCTAGCAAACATTATAACAAATCTAAATAACCCATTTAACCCCTCCCAGGGAAGTCCTGAAACTTCCTCGTTTATATTCAGTATCATTGCGCCTCCCCATTTTAAAAATTCTGGATCCGCCACTGCTATTGGTGGAGGTTTGTTGCATGATAATTTGCATGCATGTATTAGTTAAACCAGGTGAAGTGATAGGGTATGTAGGAATAAAAGGCTTGTGACATGTGAAAAAAATTTGCAAATAGAGGGTAGCACTGAACAAGAACAGCTATGTATGTGAGTGGGAGAAGTACCCGTCGGAAATCTATTTTTAGCGTAAGAAAATTATAACTTTCATACTATGAATAAAAATACTTATTTTTATCTTACATTTTTCATATTTCAATTGCATAATCTCTAATACCTCCTAAATGAAACTCAAAAGTTTTTTGGTAGATTTTTACATTTTATCATACATTTTCTCTACCCTAACACTAAGTGTAGTTAAATTATCAATGTATAATGAAATGACAATATATGAAATAAAATAAATAATATAATTTTTTCCTCTCCACTGATTGTATTAATGATCAGAAATTTCCAAGGTACTTATCTTAACAATTCCAATTGCTAACCTTTTCACATTTCTTTTCTTTTAATTTTATGGTTTTATTGTTGTTCTTTGTACTCACTTCAGCAGTAATCCTTATGATAAAAACTATAAATCACAGCAGTAGTCCATTAGCTGTTTCCCCTAGAGCTAACATAACTTATGATTGTGAGGTGTCATGTTACGCATACATGTTTGAGCTCATGAAAGTTTAGACAATTTATTTTACTTAAAGCTTATTACACTAAGCTAAGAAGTTTTTAATTTTTACATTTTAGTCACTTTTTGTTAAAAAATATATAATAAAATACATAAAAACAAGTATTTGTAGTAGTTATTGCCTTTTGCATTTCATTTGCTCTCCCATAAATATTTGGGTATACAAAAACGAATCTGTATAGTTTTAAAATATGCATTTTAGAACAAAAAATATATCACTTACTAAAATGCAATGTTGCATGACTACTATAATTTGTCTTTTTGAATAATTTACAAATTGCTAAAATCAGTTGATGACTCCAAGGTTTTAAAAATGTTGAAAATTCATGCACAAAAACTGCCAGTCAGATATACTGAATATATATAAAATGGTTAAAGAAGTTCCTTAAGGATTCAGAGCAACAAAATATGATCACAACAAGCTAAATGATTCCACTAACATTTTACAGTAGGAGAAATGACTACTCTTAAGATTTATCTAGATGAAAATTTGCTCTTTCTATTAGTCCATATAAAGTTGTTTAGCAAACAATCTAGAACTTCAGAGAAAATGGAGGAGCTTCTCTGACAAATTTATTGATATATAAGCAAGTCAAGAGGGTAATTTGTGTGTCTAATTGAGTGGAAACTATACAAGCCTATTATTAAGTTGGAAACTTTTGAAATGGAGAAATTGGAAATCAGGTGCATCACATGACATAGATAAATGAAGATTGAGCTTCTTTAAATTAATATTTTTGAAATTATGAAGTTAAAATTTAACTAATATAAAAATTTGAAGTACAATATGTATTTGCTTGCCAATTTTATTGAAATATATTAATAATAAAGTTAATTAAATTTTCTATGTAGCACTGTAAAAGGTTGTGACATGAGCAAAAGAGCCAAATCCAGATGTGAAGGATTAATGTAAAGACTTAAAAGATATCTATCTCAGTAGTTACTGGTATAGTAAAACTTATTCCTTGTACACTGTTTACAGTAAAATGAGGATTAGTAATTCAAAATTCTCTTCTAAATAATACAGTTATTTATTTTAAGAGGTATTTTGTTCAACTGGAACTTTTTTTTTGCTTCATTTCTTTCACTTGATCCTGTTTATTTTAATTTATTTACATAAATTATAAGTTTTATTGAGCACTGCTTTTCTGTGGCATAATTGAAAGCATAATTTCAATGCTGAAACAGAGAAAGAAGTGGAAGAAATAACCACAAAGAGAAATGTATTATTTGAGTTATTTATCTAAACCTTTAAGTCATACGAGTAGTTTATTTCTAACTAAATTGAATGTTTGTTTATCCTAAATCAAAAGCTACTAGTGGAAATCTTATATGCTGTAGTGGGTGTGAGTACAGTAAAACACACAGAGTCTCTAACTGTACTTTAAATATTCATGATAGGAGTTGTTTGTTCTATATTTGAATATAAAAAACTAAATTTTCTAAACTCCACTAATAGACATACAAGGGAGAACTGATAGCTATAACCAGTGAACACCTTTGTGGTGTCTGGTGTAAAACTACATATCAGGTTTCAAAATTTAAGTAAAAATAATAACTTTAATTCTGTTTTACAATTTGTAAATATTTTAGAGTTGATATTTTGTCATTATAATATAATAAACATGAAATATTTTCAAATCTAATTTGTGTACATGAGCTTTAAGGAATCTCATCTGTAAACAATGCACATACAGATGTTTTTTTTTTTACTTTTCTATTAATTTTAATATGTAGGTTTACCAAGAAATTATCATCCATTGACAATATAATTAGCTACATCTTATTTATTTTATGATTTTCCCTCTGTCTTTAAGGTTTTATTATTAAAATATTTCATTCACACCCATTTTATAATACCACAGCATGTACTCTGAACAATCACTAATGAAGCACAGCTTTGAAAATATATGCAGGTAATGTTTGAATTCAGTTTAACAGAGCAGATTTTAAACTTTTCATGTCAGTGTTTAGTGAAAAAACTGGGGAAAGAAGTAATTTATAGTTTTGTTGGAAAGTTGCGAGACCTAGCTTGGAAATTAATTAGAAGTTTGTAAGACTTGGGAACAAACCACAGACCTTGCTTTTGTAGTTTCTTTATAGATTATTTTTTGTGCTTGAAAGGAAATTTGTTAAATTATATCTGTTTGTAAGTTAAGGAAATATTTCTAAATAAAACATGAAAGAAAAATTCATTGGATATTAATAATAGTATGAATCCTGAAGTGAATCATTATTTTTATAATATTTAAAAATATTGCGGTTTTTGTGTGTGAAGGTGTAGTTAGACTTATGACAATATAATTCTCTGTGGTAATATAATCATTAAGTTGTATTTCAGAGCACATTACTGTGTGTGAGTTTTTTCATGGAGAATATTGAATGTTCCCTCCTTCAAAATATGGTGACTACATCCTTTCCCCTGTGTATACTATATATACAGTTACCTCCAGCTATATGATAACCCATTTAGCATTGTACTGGCAAATGAATGGGACTTAACTACAAACTAAATATATAAGTGCTAGACCTGTAACTTGAGGTGTAAAATTTCATATCTGATGCAACCTCTCACTACATTAGAATATTCAAATAATTTTTGTAAAGTGCAATGACCTCTCTTTAATACAGGTAATTTCTCTAAAGGAATGCAAATTTGAGAAGCTTAAATTGCCATTCTGAGGTTGGAGAACAATTTAATTTTGAGTTTTATTTTATTTACTTTTCTAGATACTCGTGAATTGCTACTCACTTTAAGCCTAATACGGACTTTGGGAGAGATATTCGTTCTTTCTGTAAAAGTCTGTAAAAGTTTATGGAACATCAAAGAGGAATTAATTCAATCAAGTATACCTCAGAAAATGGTATGTATGTGTATATTCATACTAAAATACAATGATAAAAGTTCTTTGGTTCTAGGTTTTGACTGAAGCTAACCTTTCTATATAATTTTAAGGAAAATAAGTTACAAATTTCAGAAAAATACTCTGTGGAATAATAATAGTTTAGTTTAAATATGTAGTAAATCAAAACTTAGGTTTTTAAGTCAGAATGCAGCATGTAATTGACTACTAGAAGAGGAAACAGAATTCTGTGAATTACGTTGCATTATATAACTTTGATAATATTAAATGTATAAAAACAAATGCTCTATAATTCATTTTAGAAAGATATATAAACTTCACTGGAAATGTGGGTGTTTTCTTCTCTGTAATTATTTAGTTGAAATTTAACTTTAAAATTTGATTGTGTGATCCAGGGTTTGACAAACTTTTCAGTTGTTGCAGCGTATCTCTTCAGACTTTTCTAATTCCAAAACATACTTTTTTTATGTTGTGAATTTGTCTCTCTGATGATTCCTAAAATGTTTTCTATTTGTACTTTAATAAAATCTGTAAACAAAAAAAAAACACCTAAAATAAATCCAAATGATACAGTTGAAGATTGGAAATATAAACCTAAAATAGAGTATCCTTTCTGAGATATATATATATATATATATATATATTCTCACTTTATGAGCAAATTATACTACAACCTTTGAAACAAGCAAAGTGTTAACTACTGAAATTCTTATTTACCATACATTGTATAATTAACATAACATAATATTTTGGGACAACATGGGACCTATTAGTCCATCTCGGC